CCCTCGGCTCCCCGAGCGCCGTGCGTGCCCGCGAGTTTGCAGCCGCCGCGCCGCGGCCGAGAGTCCGCGCGGAGCTGCAGTGAGCCTCGGCCGGGAGGTGGGTGCGGGAGGAGCGAGGCGAGCGAGGCTGACATCAGCAGCCGCCCGGCGGGGAGGGTAGCCCCATCCGGCCAATGGGGAAATGGCAAAGAATGTGGAGGATTTAAACAAAACAGCATGTCTCTCGCGGGCTGCTGCCCGACAGCCCGGCTGCCCCGAGCCCGCGATCGGGGAGGGGGGCGCCCCGCGACCCCTGTACCGTTGGCCTCTGTTCGCAAATGTGCTCTGGGGGGCCACGGCGCTGCCAGACACTCCGGGAAGCTTCTTGTTCCTAGGTCCTGGAGTGTTCCTTGACCTTTGGAAAGAGCTTTACAAATGCTCACCCAGGGCGGGTTTGGGGTGGTTTGTTGTGTTTTTTTGTTTGTTTTTTCACTCTAGTCGGGTCAAGCAAGTGCAGCGCTGAATGGAGCGATGGGATTTGAGAGCATGAGAAGAAACCCTCTTGCCTGCTTTCCTAACTGGTTGCAGAGAGGGAATCCTGGAAAACTGGGCAGCACAACAGTGTGAATGAAAATGAAGTACAGACTCGCAACCAGAGGGAACATGAACCGGACATAACCTTGCACCTCTCGGGGCCCTGCTCCACAGCCTACCGCGGGCTTCCCAGAGCTGCAAGAATAGGTTTTCGTGTCAGCACTCTTAAGTTCAAAAAGTCTCAGTGAAATGTCAATGAAAATGCCTGGAGTGTTGGTATTTCATCCATATTAAACAGATCCCTCATTTTAACCACAAGAGGCACATTCTTCAGACACTCAGGAAGCTGCATGTAACTGCTGAAGTCTGTTTTTCATTTGTCTGGTATTTTTTAGCTTGTTTTTCTGAAAACTTGCTGGATGAAAAATGCATTGGTTGCCTCTATACAGAAAACCTCCAAGCATCATCTTTTCTCAGGAAAATATTCATGCTCTGAGATCCTGCAGTTACTCAGAGAGCTTGGACAGTGATACAGCTGGCCTCGGATAGTGTAGTTTTCAAGATGATGATTAGTTAAACAATTGGCCTCTGGAAGTACCAACTTGTGGTATAAACCATCCAGGTGGTCACAGAGACTTTTCAGCGGTGTGAACAGGCTACAGAGCCTAACAGAAAAATGACAGCCTGCCTCCAGCTTATATTTTAGTGAAAACTCTTTTCTAGATAAATGTTTCCCAGCGTTGACTTGGAAATATTCACAGCGACTAATTAAAGCTAAACCAAATTCCTCGAGGTGGAAAATCTAAATCTGACACTGTAGTGTTGAATAATAACACACTGAAAGCCTGTGATAGGGGAAGAAACTCAAGCTGGGTTTCTTTTTTCTACATCGTACTTGAAAACAAGGTAGTGACTTGGCTTCTGGGACCTAGTGCTCTTCCCAGAGGCGGCTAGGGGGCCAGGAGACCCACTGGCCACTTGGACACACCCCCTCAGGACCTCAGAATCTGGGGGCTCTGTTCCTGGCTGCTCAGATTCTAGTTTCTGTTGATTCTGGAGCAAAGTATTTTACTGATGAATATTATGGCTGAGGAACTACCTTTCTGAATTTCCCCAAAGGCAAATTTACCACGTACACGCTCCTCTGACCTGCCTGGTAAGCTGCCTTCACCACTGGACTCTCCTTCCCTTCACTCAGACTGGCCACATTCCTGGCTTCAGTAATCTGCAGTCACCTGGCTCTGATCCTGCCACCTTCAAGACCTCTCAGTGTGGCCTACTGAGGGGGTGGAAATTCCTAGGCAAGAGAACCGAGGCTCTGAGTATACTCTCCCACCCAAGTCTCTCCCCTCCCGTCCAGCCAACTGGACAACCTCCCCAGGACGCCACTCCCCAGCGGGGCACTGGCAGTCTGTCCGGACAGGACTCTGCTGGCAGTGTGTGGGCTGGGTCAGGGCAGAGGGATACCAGAGGCAGGAGGGAGTGATGACGAGGCCACTAGAGAGGCATATGGAAAGGGTCCGAGTTAGACAACGGGTCAGGAAAAGAGGATGGCTTTAAGAGACTTGGAAAGGACTTGAGAACGGTTGGGTTTTCACTACCACGGCGCTTGGGGGAGGGGAAGGCACAGGAGAGCGTCTTCATTCACACCCTTCGCACAAAGGGAGCGGAGCGCCATCTACTGGTCAGACCCTGCCTAGCCTGATTCAGGTCCCCTCTGCAAATCTGACAGCAACTTGATCTTCGTTTCTTTCCTTTTTTCTTTTCCTTGAACAAAGTCGTTTCTTTTCAATAAATGGAGTCCGCAATATTGATTTTTGAAGGTCCTGGAGGGTGTTGCTGCCATTACGGATAGTAGATTAACAACATATAACCTATACTTGCTGGTGATCGCCTAAAAAAAAAAAAA